GACAAGGACGCTTGTCGGGTCGATGGAGACGGAGCGGAGCTACTCGAGTTGCCGTGCCCGTGCTACAGGGACGGAGCGGATGAGCGGTGGTGCCTTGACCTGTCGTCTGACGTGTCACCATTGCTAGACCCGCGCCAGTGTGGCTTTGAAGGCGCCCGACTGCTGGATCCACTTGGGTGCAGCTCTGATAACAGCGCTCGGGTCTCGATCTAGGAGTGTTGGAGGGCGAGCTCGACTTCATCCAAGCAGGCAACAAGCTCCCAGTCCATGTTGGTGTCGGATACGAATTAGATGGACTTCGATCCGGAGCTCGACATGGCCGAAGATGGCCAAACAGGGGAGGAGTGGAGATTAGCGGGACTACGGGGTGGACAGATTAGGAGTGAAGTGAAGGAGAGTGAGCTTGGGTTTGGCGTCCAGGGTGGGATAGAGTTTTGTGGTGTCTAGCATGAGCAAGACTGGACGTGGAGGATTAGACGACTTCTATGAGGTCGGTTTTTTTTTTGAGAACTCGCCAAACTTTATTAATTATCAGCAAATGTCATAGGTACACGGTTTGGGTCGTGAGGAATGCCCAACCAAACGTGTCTACCTACATCTAGATTACAAGCAAACTTGGCCAGATTATGAGCCTCATAATTATGGTTCCTACGCTCGTGGATGAAAAAACAAGAAGTAAAGCTATTACAATGAATTTTGATCTCATGCACTATAGCAGCATTTGTGCCTCCGGTTCCTTTCTCAATATCAGTCACGACTCCCTGGCAATCCGAGGCAACACATATAGACTGTACTGCAAGATCATCCGCCAAAGATAAGGCTTCACGACACGCATAGGTCTCCAAGACCACGGGGTCATTTATACCTTGGATAACGATAGCCGATGATCCGAGATACAGGCCTGTCTCATCTCTGCACACTGCTGCGACCGCTCCTCCATGGCGTGACCTAGCTACTGCCCCATCCACGTTCACCTTGACGGTGCCAGTCGGGGGAGGCAGCCACCTGTTCACCTGTACAGAGGGAACGCCCGGGGTTCTTCTTCCTTCATCTTTAGTTTGCACTTGCCCTAGTTCCGCAATGAAGTTATTTATGAAAGAAACAGTATGTTGCGGACTCTGAAATATGGCCTCGTAGACTGCCTTGCGCCTAGCATACCAAATTGACCATAGCGTCACGGCCATCTTAACGAAAACCGCATGATCCATAGAATCATAGAGCTCAAATAGCCAGAGCCTCGCATTGGGCTCCAAATTATTCGTCATGCGTGCAACCATATCAGCATCTGATAGTGCCCATACACATCTGGACATGGTGCAGGAGACAAGAGCGTGTCTCCACGAGTCAGCGCACCCGCACAAGGGGCAATTGTCTTGTACCGCCATGTTACGCTTCTTCAGAGTATCTGTCGTAGGGAGAGAATGATGGGCAAGTCTCCACAGGAATATTCTGATTTTTGAAGGGATTTTTAATTTCCATAAAACAACCCAAGATTTCTCATCTTGTTGATTCGATGATCCACCCCTTCCCTCTAGCCATTCCTCTCTCTGCAGCTTGGTTTTCAAAATAAATTTATAAGCGGAGCTGACCGAGAACTTGCCCTTTTTGTCTGGATACCAGGCCCAAAAATCGTCAACATTGCGTGTGCATATGGGAATTTTCATAATCGCATTAGCATCCATTGGGTAT